ACATTTACTAAAATTACGCAAAAAATATCTTGAAATACTAAAGAGTAAATTTATTGAATAACATCGCCACTAGCTTTAACCACTGCCCCCAGACAACTTCGGAATTTCCTGCATCTGTTCTGGGCGGTCTTCTTGGTTATGTTGGTGAATGCTGCCATAATCCTTGCTTTTCAGTTCATCTTTGGTGTTACAAGAAGTTTTTGCTGGTTTCTCACTCAACTGCCTCCTTCACATAATAATCAAAGGAGCTGCAGTCTAGGGAGTTAGGTGGCCAGATGTAAGAGTGTATATGATCGTAGAAACAATCTGACAGACATGACTCGGTTCTCCTGCTTGTGTGGCATGGTGCAGAGTCCTGTTGCTAGACATAGGGTGTTCCTTCTTGACCCAGGGCAGCACAACCTCCTTAAGAAACTTGATATAGGCCTCCGTGTTGAGTCAGATCCTGCGGGAAGATGAATAAGGCATAACGTCACCACCACTAGTGATCACTCCAAACACCTTCGTAATCACTATTAGACCCATCCAACTCCTTCCGAATTATGTGCACTGTCTTCATATTGACACACAAAAACATTTAAATGTGTGTATTAGAGCTTCCGGCGAGAATGCCAAGCAGTACAGTATGCTGTTTCTAAACTTCTGGCTGAGTAAACTGCGTCATGGTGCTCTTTTTTCTTTTTTACACATGGTGCCCAACTGACCCTATTATATTGTGCAGTCGACAAATCAAAAACAAACGACGCGCATGCGCGAAATTAAAAAAATATAAAATGGCGTCAGTTTTGCCATTGTATCGTGTAGTTGAAGCTTTTTTGTTCTCGATCTCTGCTATCAGATTTGTTTCGTAGCTTTCGATGCGGCTTCTGCATATCTCAGCCGGTATTATCGTCATTTCATCGACGCAGAATCCTTCCAATTCATTCATATTCGATGGCTTCTGTTTATGTACAATGATTTTCAGCTCATGCCAGAAATATTCGATTCTATTTAGGTCAGGCGATTTTAGAAGGCCTTTCGATTATCCTGAACCTTGTTATAAAACCATTACTAAGTGGCTTTCGAAGTATGTATGGGGAAGATGTTTTGCTGGTAGATGAATTGTTTATCGAGTCTAATCTGTAACACAGGCCGTAAATGATTTTTTTCTCGAAAGAATGAACTGGTATTTTAAGAAATCTATTTCCCTTGATTCATCTGACTATTTCCCAGGTACTGCCAGATAATGCCAACCCATAAAAACAACAACAAAAACCCCAAAGAAAGAAACATTTGCCTAAGAATATTTCACTATCTTACACTTTGTTCTGTGTCTTTTCTTGTCTGTGTAATGAATGTTGTCTTGAACGGCTACTCTTCAAGATCTTTTTGCATTAATGCAGGAGTCCCCTAAGGCTGCATCCCTGGATCTACGTAATTCTTAATTTTTATCAATAACCTTTCTGATGGCATCATTCTTAACTGCATTTATGCTGATGACACAGCTATTTACTTCTGTCAGATCGGTTCGTTAAGGGGAACTTGGCAGCCGATCTAAAATTCACCTTAATGGTTTAAAATGACCTAAATTTTGTTGTTAACTAGAGCAAGGAATGGCTTGTTAATTTTTAACGCCTTCAAAACGAAAGTGCTCTGTATTCTTCATGTCAGAGCCGATTTTCTGTCTTCACTCTGCATGGCTGATGCTAACCTCCAGGAAAGTGACTCATTACGCCTTCTCCTCTGACATGAACGGGAATGATTATATTGAATCAATTGCTTCGTCTGATACTAGGACCGTTGGTTTACTTTGTAAACTTTTCTCTCCCGAATCTGTCTTGCATAAATCTATCATTCCTCAACGCTTAGAATACTGCTGTTAAAAATGGTGTAGAGCTTCTGTTATATATTTAGAGATTCCTGATAAAATCCAAAGAGGAATATGCAATGTTATCGATCCTGATCTTCCTATCTCAACTACAGTCATTTTCTCACCGCCGTAGCGTAACTTTCCTGCGTCTTTTCGATAAATAATTTCAAGGTAATTTTTCTGATGAGCTTTCCTCTTTGTTACTTCGATTTTACGAATTTAAGTGCAGTACTAGATTGGCAACTAGGTCTCATAATTTTCCAGTTGGTATAGCTATATGCAACTGTAAGTTCTATAATAAGAGTTTCGCACTTCTCGCTTGTGAAACTTTCGCCCGGTTCGTTCCTTTCCAGTTTTGCTTGATCTTCAAAAACTCTAACGCAATGTCAAACTGCATCTTCTGTTTTCTTAAATCCTCTCTTCTTATTGTTTTAGCTCCTTAATAATGTTTTTTGCTTTTCTCATATTCTTTCGCATTCTGTATCTCATTGCATGTTAGTGACTTTGTTGTCTTGCTTGATGGTGACATGATTAAATACAGGGTGCGATGGATAAATTGTCATCTAAATTCTGCAAAAATGAAAATAAAACTGACATGTCATTTTAACAGATCTATATATGAAAATTACACAAAAATATATCTTTAGTGTTAAAGAGTAAATTTATTCAATAAAATCGACATTGGTTTCAACCACGGCCTTCAGACAACTTCGGAATCTCCTGCATCTGTTCTGGACGGTCTCCTTGTTTAAGTGGGTGCATGCTTCCATAATCCTTGTCTTCAGTTCATCTTTGGTGTTACAAGGTGTTTTGTTGGTCTCTCGCTCAGCTGCACCCCACATAGATAATAATCAGTCTTCCCAAGCTCATAAGATTAATGCATTCAATAGTCAAGGCTCTTTTCTCGTTTCTACTCTCTACTCCCCCACCCAGCCACTGCCCGGGAAAAACTAGCCTTAATTGTCCTCACCTTCTCAGCGTTATCTAGGGCGAGCCGTTTGCTGAAATCAATGGAAAAGGACCTAATTCTACATTTAAGTCTATCCCACCACCCGATAACCGCCCCCACTAGCTCCCGCTGCACTACGCTAATTAGCTGTTCCTGGAAGCCCAGCCTGTCCTGTAAAGACAGATTGAACTTCCAGTAACCAGCCATTCTAGGCCTACGATATAAGGCTACCCGGGCACAAACGAGTTTGTGATCCGAATAGGCTACCCAGTGGAACGTGGGACAATCTAACAGGTCTACGTCGGCTCTTCTATCTAACATTCTGTCAAGGTAGCTAACCACCTTGTCACAAGGCCAATTAAGAGCCCACGTCCACATTCCCCCCCCCGGAACCATCTACCTAAGAACATACTCAAATCATTAATAAATACACACGCACATCGTAAAACAGTGTAAGGCTGCATCGCCAACAATATAAATGATCAGTGCCACATCAGACCGAGCTTTAACAGAGGAATCACTGGTTTGTAAAAGTCAGTACCACCAAATCCAAACTAGTGCGATTTCATCATCACAAAAAGTGCCTGAATTTTCAGTAAAATAGTAAAATGCTAGTAAAATTTTAAATTTAATGTAATGTCAATCGACATCTGACACCCTGAGCTTGTTATCCGTCCTTCTCTGTATCAATCATGACTCTCTATTTTTGTTCTCAATCCTCTGTAACCTCTTGCGTGCTAGTAGCACTCCCACCTTGCTTGGGGTAAATTGCTTTAAAAAGTTATCGGTTGCTTGTACCGTTCAAGAAAGTGCCTCAATCCTCTCGCTACGATCTAACTTTATAAGATTAAGACTAAACTAAAATTGGAGTATAGCTGCCATATCCAGATGGAGTAGTCCAATTCTTAGTTACTAACCATGGCAGAGTTCGATAGCGTCTACGCCATCTTGAAATGTTTTCCACCCTAAAACCCTTTTCTAAACAGACGAAACATTGGATCCCTCTTGCTACTCTATCGTTATTTCAGAAGCTGCTATCATTTGTTCCACCAGTTCAGACCTTCACAGCTGAGACCTCTTTCCATTTGTATTACATTAGTAAGAAAAATCGGATAGTTATTTTTTTTCTCCCAAGAACGGCTATTTTGTAGAACAGACTCGTGTTGGTAAGCTTTCACGACGGCTCCATTTTTTATCTCCTCAAGTTTAGGATCAATCCTTATCTTTCTTACATAATCTGCACTAACCTCCTTGTTGTACACTCATACAACAACTTAATTCAGTAACTCTACCTTGAGAAAATCTTGGGTTTGTGTTAGCTGAATAACAGTAAAATCTTTTTATGTGTTTCGTTTAATAGTGTTTATTTTTGTGCAACTCTTCCGTGAAATCGTTTTTGTTTCAATGTTCAACGAATTGTTGAAGCGCATTTGGCTGTTCCAGCAGCCAAGGAGACATGCCACTACTAGGATAGTATTTTTCTATTTTGACCTGTGTTCTTTTTCTTTTCTAAACACAATATTTGGTAGTTCCGTTCTGATAATTTAATGTTTCTTACGTTTTGCAAAAATCGAGTAATCATTAGATGGATAAAAATATTTTTAGCAAATGCTGAACGAGACGTTTTTTATATGCGTTTGCTTCAACAAAGTCTTTTTTTTTCATGCAGCGCGTTCGAGAATAATCGTCATCGTTTCAAAGTCCTACGAATTGTTGAGACGTGTACATCCTTTACAACGTCCAAAGACACGGTTCACTACGGGGATGTTATTTTTAAATATTTCACTGTATTGCTTTTTTTTTCTTCCTTTTCCTAACGTATCAAATATTTGCCATTCCATTCTAATAGTTAATTTTTCTTTTGTTTGACTAAATAACTTTTTCTGGGAATCTTTAGACTTTCTTTCAAACACACATACGAAAAAAAATTGATGAATGCTAAAGAAGACATTTTATGTTATCTTCCGTCGTGTTTTTTGTTCAAAACAAACTCTTTAATTAGATTGTCTTAAAACTGTAGCAAATTATTTAAACAAATGAAGAATACTAATTTGAACGAAGTAATTATTAGGCTTACGTCTAGATCGTGTTGAAACACCGGTTCAAGGAAGTTAAGCAATGTCGAGTCTGGTCCGTACCTAGATGGGTGACCACTTGGCAATACCAAGTGCTAGAAGCTTGAGAGTGTGGGTAGTATGACTTATGTCCATATCACGTTGAAACACCGGTTCTCGTACGATTGCTTAAGTTAAGCAACGTCAATTCCGGTTAGTACCTAGATGGGTGACCGTTTGGGAATATAAGGTGTGGTAAGTTTGGATGTGCGATTCGATTGGCCTACGACCATATCACGTTGAAACAGAGTTTCTCGTACGATCAACGAAGTTAAGCAACGCTCAGCCTGGTCAGTACCTAGATGGGTCACCTAATATTGGGATTTGCCGAAGCTGAGAGTTAAAAGTTCCGAGAGGAGAGTAAGATTTAGTTTGACATGTATTTTTAAAAAATCATTTCACCCCAACCAAAGCACTAGGATTCAAAGGGTGACTGGGAGTGAAAGAAACAGGGTGGACAATAAAAAGAACAGCATCCAAGGCGGTAGAAGATTACGAGTGACATGACGAGTTAAGCCACGTCAATCCTGGTCAGTACATAGATGGGTGATCGTTTGGGAAGATCAGTTGTGGTAAGCTTGGATGTGTGATTGGTGTGGTTTACAGCCATACCACGTTGAAACACCGTTTTTCGTACGGAGGTGGAGGGCCATGAGCATGAAAGGACATGGAACATAAAAAGGAAGGAAGTGGGGTCATGGCGGTGGAAAAGCGACTGATGTCAAAATGACGGGTCAAGGACATATTGACAAAAAAGAATTAAAAAAAAGAAGTAAGAATGATTCTATGACAATTCACCTTTCCTATTCATATGACGCTTATTTGTTTTGGCTAAAATGTTTAATTTGTAAAAAGAATCCATATAGGCCTTCTAAAATGATATTGAGTATTATGCGACACAATTTTAGCTGTTGTTTTGACACAACTTATTGAAAAAAATATTGTTTAATCACCTTTGTATGTTTACGCAAAAGCTGTAGTTGCTAATTACGGAATTAAAATAGTACATTATATTATTTCTCGTGTATGATCAGAATATAACGAAATCTTAAGGAGCACTGGGATAGACAAAGATGCCTTCCAAAAGCTAAGCAGTGTATTAAGAAATAGAAAAACTTCGCTAAAAACAGTACTGAACTGTTGTGTGTTATTGTATGGCAGTGAGTGCTGGACAATGAGAGATGAAGAAGAGACTTGAAGTACAATGTGGTTCTACAGAAGGATGCTGAGGATACCATAGACCGATTATCTGAGCAACGACGAAATTTTTTGAGAAAATGGAAACAAAAAGGAAGTTTTTATTTAACATCAGGAGGTGACAGTTTACACTTCTAGGACACATAATGAGGAGAGAGGGCTTGGAAGATCTAATACTCACAGGACAGATTAAGTGCAAGAGGGACAGAGGTAAACAACGCATACATAGTGATCTTGTGTAAATGGATGGAAGAACAGTATTTAGAAGACATTACAAAAAGACAAAAATTCACAGGGAGTTGTGAAGAGCCTGATCGACCACGTTCTTGAGGGTACACAAGACATGAAGAAGAAGTATGGTAATAATAGCCGTTTCCCTATGAGGAAACATTTGTCATTCTTTGACCGAGCAATCAGTATGGTTTCAGCTGAAATTCATAAAATATTTCTCTTAAAGGAATTTTTCAGGAAAATACGTTTCTCAAGTTTCTAGATGTTGTGCGGAATGTCAACATCTTGATTACGTCATTATTTTCTCTTCTCAAGCCCAGTAGCTGTTATCACTCTTTCCAGTATTGATTGAGATTTCCCTCCTAACCTTTTATTTGAAGTAGTGTGGAATACAATATATCTTGATTATATCATTATTTTCTCTTCGAGTTACATGTGCTATCCATTTTAGTTGTTGCCGTTGTTGGAAGTCCTCAAATGATGGGGGTTTCTGTTATTTGATACACTTCTTTGTTAGTGATTCTGCGCTAGTCTACGATTTTCAAAAAAGGGGTGGTCTTTGCCAAGACCGCCAGGCTTTTCTCGCTCAAAGCCTGTTTTAAGCATTGGTCTTTAAAGAGACTGCTGAATTGCATCGATACCTGAACATCAAACTGTTTGGTTAGAGTTTAATATGTAAACATCATCAAAATCAAAATTTACAACCTAGTAAAAGTCAATCCTCCAATATGGTAGTAAATGCTGGGCAATCACATCACAGATACTTGAGGCATTAGCGATTTGATTTTACAGAAACATACTGAGAATAACATGGACGAAACATGAGAGCAACTAGGAAGTTTTAGGGAAAATGGAAACAAAAAACACATAATCAGGAAAGAAGGATTAGAAAATTTGACACTATCAAGATATATTTATCTCTTTTAGCCCTACGTTCTTGAACATTTTTAACTCTTCTGCCTCAGCTCATGAGTCAAAATTCGCAAATAATTGGTAGCTGAACATTAAGTCATTTTTCTTTAGCACTGTTTAACCGGTGGCTGAGCATTACGTCATTTCTCTCTACCACCGATCAACCGGTGGCTGGACATTATGTCATTTTTCTCTACCACCGATCAACCGGTGGCTGGGCATTATGTCATTTTTCTCTACCACCGATCAACCAGTGGCTGGGCATTACGTCATTTTTCTCTACCACCGATCAACCGGTGGCTGGGCATAACGCCATTTTTCTCTACCACCGATCAACCGGTGGCTGGGCATAACGCCATTTTTCTCTAACACCGATCAGCCGGTGGCTGGGCATAACGCCATTTTTCTCTACCACCGTTCAACCGGTGGCTGGACATTATGTCATCTTTCTCTACTACCAATCAACCGGTGGCTGGGCATTATGTTATTTTTCTCTAGCACTGATCAACCAGTGGCTGGGCATTACGCCATTTTTTTCTACCACCGGTAAATCGGTGGTCAGGGCTTAAAGGGATAAGGGAAAAGGGACAGTGGGAAACAGCAACAAACATACGCAACGAGCTACATAGAATATGAAGCTGTGGAGTGCCATGATCCCCACTCTCATGAATGTATGTGTAGAGAAACGGATATCAGTTCGCAAATTTAAAATCGGCCAGTAGGCACCTTCCTCAAAAGAATTGGCGCTATACATTCTTCGAAACTATATTTTTGTTGCTATACTAGAGTAACTTTCGTAAATATCACTCTTTGTGTATGTGTGTATGGTTATGTGTGTTCTAAAATCAACGTCATTGATTTTTAATAATTTTTCTGTGTTGTGTGTCGGAGTTTTTGCTGGCGGGGATGTGACGTTCAAATCACGGATGCTACGAGGCATAAAACTGATGTTTATTGGAAAATTGGCACACTTAAAAAGTCCCGGCGACGCGATATCAAGATGGCGATCAGACGGGAAGATACGGACGGCCGACTCGAGGTATAAAGACCAGATAAGCTTTCCCCCTTGGTTAGACGCGAAGATTCAATTAATTTTGCTCACAGGAGTTAAACTGCAATTCAGGACTTTTGCCGGCTGTTTGAACTGAAGGTCATATGGTGTCAAAGGTGACAGGAGGATCGCGTGGACTTAATTGCGTCAGGAAGACTGACCAGAGGCATTGTGGCAGATTGCCACGGTTGTCGGTGATAGCAAAAGGCTCTGTTGCGCATTCTTGAAGGGAACGTCTAGACTGATTCGAGAAATCATTTTTGTTTGGTTTTGTTCGTTGGGTTGGGTTCGTTTTTCTTCTTTTTAAATTTCAATTTTAATTATTATACTTATGATCTTCCGTTTTCTTTTACAATCATTTTTGGCGAAAAATGTTTTCTGTACTACGATGTTAGCAACATCTAAAAAGAATACGAAATTAAAAATCATTTTCATGTAGTCTTGCATTCTTTTTTTACATTGAAATTCCCCCTGTATAAGACGCTGCCGCTACTCGATATATAAGGTTATATAAAATGGGCATTTAATGCAGAAATGAGGCGAAGATAACGGTTAAAAGCAATTCACCCCAAGCAAGGCGGGGGTGCCATTAGTATACAAGGGGCTACAGAGAGTGTAAGGGAAAGGACTGGGTATATGGGTGGGAGGTGTAAGGACAGGATAAAAAGAAGACCGGAGGAGTATAAAAAGAAAAATCGGGATTAAGGCAACAGAAGATGCCGATTGACATTACATTTAAATTTTTGGATATGATACTTATCAGGGAAGCAAGTAAGAGGAAGGACGTTCCATTGCTGAGAAGTCTGAGAGAAGCTGTTGGAGTAGAAGAGGCGGTTACATTTAATTGTTTCGACATTGAAAGGGGGGGGCGATATGCTAACCTAGTAACATACTTAAAGCAGATCTTTATAGACGTAATGTGGCTTCCTTCAGTCTTTTCTACAAATATTTTCAGACCGACTGTATGAATTTAAGCGTGCTACCAGGTTGGCATTTTAGTCCCACACTTTTACTATAGAAACAGTTAAATGTAACCGCTTCTTCTACTCCAACAGCTTCATCTCTCACACTTCCTGACAGTGGAACTCCCTTCCTGTTACTTGCTTCCCTGATTACTATAATCTTTAAAAATTTAAATTTAATGTCAATCGACATCTTCTGATGCCTTGATCCTGATCCCCGTCCTTCTCTTTATTCTTTCCGTAAACACCCCTCTTTACTCTTACTTTCACTCTCTGTAACCCTCTCCCTCTTTACTCTTACTTTCACTCTCTGTAACTCTCTCCCGATTTACTCTTACTTTCACTCTCTGTAACTCTCTCCATCTTTACTCTTACTTTCACTCTCTGTAACCCTCTCCCTCTTTACTCTTACTTTCACTCTCTGTAACCCCTTGCGTGCTAGTGGCACACCCACCTTGCCTGGATTTAAATGCTTACAAAAATATCTTTCTAATGCCAGACAAACAAGTTAACTTGTTTTCTTGTTATATATCTACCAGGCTATGGCATCCCAAGCTTGTCTCGCTAGAACAATTACGAATGAGTAATGAGTCCGATCCTCACTGAGTAGCTCATACTTTCGGCCTTGTGCCACATTTAAGCTACGCTTGAAAAATCACTATATATCCACGAGGCTTAACGCGTAAGTCATTTAGTATTTCGATGACCAGTAAGATCCTTGATTTAGAATTCTATTCCGGACACTCCAAAGATCTCCATTCGGAAGAATGGAGATACTCGGATTTTATTAATTCTGCTTCTGCTTCTCCAAGTTTAGTTTAACTTTTTGTCGCACGTTGCTAATC